TTATTTAAATGATCAAAATCATCAACAAAAAAATGAACCAAACTATCAAAATTTTCCCATCAATAATTTGAAGGATCATAAAAATGATGACAATCCAAATCAAAGAAAATTCAAATCACAAAATCAATTAAAATCAAATTTTCAAAATGACATAAAATCCGATTACAAAATTAAATCCAGTGAAATGAAAGCTGAATTGAAAAATCATGAAATGATTGAATCGGAAAATCAAAATCCAGCCATAGTACAAAGTCAAAATAATGAAATTGCACAGGAAAAACAGTTGGAATCGAAAAAAAAGACATCATCATCTTTTCTTAGAACAACGGAACGTTTTCAAAATTTAAAAAATGACAAGTCCAATTTAAGCGGTAGTCGTGAAAGATTACAAGAGATATTTGAATACAATCGATATTTACGACGACAATTTTTCGCCGATACACCCGTGAGTAATTTGAGCCAAAGAAGAAATACCATTTCGGAGAAATTTATCAGTCCCATAAGATCGAAACATTTGGGAATGGGATTTGGCAGCACTGAAACACTCACAAGTCAAAGTAATCAATCAGCTGACAGCAGTATAAATGGCCGAAAATCACGTGCCGATTTTAGTAATACTCCAGAATCTGTTGATGATGAAAACATTAGCATTCTCAGGGAAAATGAAATTCAATTCAAAAGTTATAAAACTGAAAAAATTGATGACGAAATCAAAGGAAGAATTGGTATCAGCAGTGAAGAAAGAAGTGGTACCAAAGTAATAGGAAGTGGTACCAGTAGTGAAGAAATAAGTGGTACCAAAGTAGTAGGAAGTGGTACCAGTAGTGAAGAAAGAAGTGGTACGAAAGTAGTAGGATGTGGTACCAGTACTGAAGAAAGAAGTGGTACCGAAGTACGAGAAAAAGGTTCAGGAATCGAAGAAAAAAGTGGCACCAAAGTAGTAGGAAGTGGTACCAGTAGTGAAGAAATAAGTGGTACCAAATTTGAATCGGAAAATTGTACCAGAACAGAAAGAAAAAGTGGTACCAGAACTGAAGAAAGAAGTGGTACCGAAGTACGAGAAAGAGGATCAGGAATTGAAGAAAAAAGTGGTACCAAAGTAGTAGGAAGTGGTACCAGAATGGAAGAAATAACTGGTACCAAATTTGAATCAGGAAATTGTACCAGAACGAAAAGAAGAAGTGGTACCAGAACTGAAGAAATAAGTGGTACCAGAATGGAAGAAATAAGTGGTACCAAACATGAATCAGAAAATGGTACCAGAACGGAAAGAAGAAGTGGTACCAGAACTGAAGAAAGAAATGGTACCAAAATTAAAGAAAAAAATGGTACTAAAATAAAAACAGAAAATAGTACCAAAATGGAAGAGAATCCTTCTATTATAAATGATACTGAAATAAAGAGATCCTTGCCAAAAATTTATTTCGGAATGGAAAAAATAAGAGATAAATTTTCTGAATGTTCACCAATTGAGAGAAGTGAATCATTTGATATTCTTTTTGATTATCAAAATCGAGAGAAAAAATTAAATTCCCTAACACCAATTATCTCCAATTATCGTGATGATAAATTGAAAAATGAAAAAACATCCTCCAATTGTTTATCCACTAAATTTCATCAATCACTTCCAAATCTTCCGGTTCTACAACAATTGAATTCAATAGCACGAGTTTCAGTGAATGGCTCCACTTATAATGTTACGACAAAAAATGAATCCTCCAATTTCATGGTGAATAGAAATAATAATTTTTCCACAAACGCTTATACATACAAACCACTACCATGCAATGAAGATAATGTCGATGATTCAAAATTTTTTGCCACCTATGTCAATATTTCTGATTCGTCTGATAAAGAATCAAAATGTTCAACGCCATCGTCAATTAGAAAACGAAAAAAAAATGTTCCACCACCACTTGATTTGTCGAAAGTCAATGAACGTTACGATCAACAAAATTTTGTGCCAACTTACACTGTTGATGTGACAAGAGTTTCTCATGGTGTACTAAAAAATGTTACCAATGAAAAAACGAAATCAAATGAAAGTGAAAATCAAAAATTTACAATTTCCAATATAAATAAAAATGAGAATTTCAATCAAGATGAAAGTAGAAAGAATAATTTAGAGATGAAAAATTTGTTGGAGAGTAGTAGAACATCTTTTGTGAATAGAAAAAATGATATTCCTTTAAATTGTTCAAGATCGTCGTCATTTTTGTCAAATTGTGAGAATATCAATAAGAATACAACATATGAAGGGAGAAATTTAAATAAATCGTGTTGTGATTTAACAAATACAAATGATCTTTTATCACCACAATTGGTGAATAATTTTAAAAATTCCCTAGCCGATTTATCGCGTTGTGCTACATTGCCAAGTGTTTTTCATCAAAATCAAAAATATGAAAAAAATGATACTAATAGTGATAGTTTACATCAATGGGATAAGATTAATAAACATTCATCAACAAGTGGAAATGTACATACATCCCTTTATGGACCAATTCCATACAGTCAATACTGTGATAAAATGAAAATGAGTAATTTATCATAATTTTTCTTTATCTTATTATGCTTTTTTTAACCGGGGTAAGTTGGCGCATTAAAATTTTTTTTTCTAATTTTGTTAATGAATTTTGATTTTATTAGAAAAAAAACACACATTTTATAATGAATATTAATTTTCAAAAATTGTATTTATGAGAGAATTTCATTTTACTATTTTAAAAAATTTCAAAAAAAAAAAATGCGCCAACTTACCCCGAAATATACAGTTTTTTTAAAAATTAAAATAACGATACATGTAAAAAAAAATTTAATAGGAAGCACGTGTCTTTTTCATCTCGTGTAGTGAATGCATTGTCATCACGTGAGAGTCAATGACATGAATCTTATTGTTTATATACTGTGAGTGCATATAGAGAGAATCGGGATGAGTACAATTCGTGTCATGAAAGTCACTGAGCATGCGCATTAAACACAGACTTTCAACTCATAATGTTGGTCAAACCTGCATGTTATGTCGCATTGTAATATCATATCAGTTGCAAAATCTCGCCGGTTAATGACACATGTGTTTTTCAATTTATTTACAAAAAAAAAAATTATTTTTTGTATTTTTTGAAATTTAATTTCAAAATTACTTTGTTGTTTTAGTTTTATATTAAAAGTTAACATTTATCAATTATATTTAAAGAATAGAAAAATTAATTTTAAAACTATAAAATATAGACGAATATAGTCGGTATTAAATGGATTAGAATGAGAACCACTGCTCTTGATCCGCTTCATCCTAATATCGCGCGATAATTAAAAAAAAAAAAAAAAAATTCGTTGATACGTGATTTTATCTGACAACTTTTGTTCTTCCTGATTGGAATATTGTGAGTTAAAATATATTTATTATTTTTTAATACCGAGTTTTTAATTTTTTTTGAATATTTTATAATTTAGAAAAAATAGGATAGAAAAGGAAAAAATAATTTTTTTCAAGAAAAATATGATTTTAAGAAAACGATAAAAAATATTAATTATGAGATTTTTATAAATAATTTTACATGTAAGCTGCCTCATTCATTATGCAATATTCATTTGAGTCACGACTTGTACAATTTCATCGCCTTCATAGTGTTACAGAGAAAGATGATGCATTACGGAAATTATGAATTAAAATATCCAGACAGTGCTTAGACACAACTTTTGTTTCATTCAAGTTGAGAAACAGGTCAAAATTATATAAAAATTGTAATATTCAACAAATTTTATAAAATTATTATTTATATTTTATTTAATTAAAATTATTTTCATATTATTTTGAACTTAATTCTTTTGTTAAATTAATGGAATACAAAATCAATAAATTTAATGCAATGTTTCAGTCTCAAGCCTTAGAAGTAAACTGAACTAGTATTATGTGGGTCATTTTAAGTCTACATCCTGCTTCCATTTAAATTGTTCTTTTTTAAAAAATTTATTATTGGAAATCAAAAATTGATTCAATATTTTGTTAATATTTTTAAAAAAAATTTTTACATAATATATACAATTTATAAAATTAGTTAATGAAACTTCATATATTTAATTCCTCAAAAAAATTTCAATATTAACGTAAATATAGTGTCACTTTCATTCATTGAAATTTGCCAATTGTTCTTAATTAGAGTTCATAATTGCAATAGAAATGTTAAATATAAACGAGGGACCAGGAGATAAAGTATGTGAAATTCTCGTTGCTTTCATTCTCTTCATTTGTATAATTTTCCCGACAATTCTGTTTCTTGAATCAAAAATCGCGTGATTTTTTTTCCCGCACTCGAGAAACTGACGATTTAATAGAATTTATAATTACGATAACTGAAGCGAAAGTTTTTGAATAGAAAAACATTGTTTTGAATTTGAAACAATAGAAAATTAAAAACATTAAATAAACAAATAAAATTTAAATTTTTTAAAAATATCTTTATAATTAAATATGGAAAAGTTGTATTGATAATCATATAATTTCCACCAGTCAAATGAGACGCCAGGGCGGAACTTGGGAGCAAAGAAACAACTGCAGTAGTTAACATACTTTATGTCGAGCACCGGAAGTTGAGCCAGGCATGATTGAACGCTTCGATAGTCTCGTTTTTTTTTTCTTTTAGAAACCCGACATATTTCGACATTCGCATATATACTTCCGTTCTCTGGGACTTCTTTTTTAATATGAGAGAATATTATCAGTTCAGATTTCACAAAATTAATAAACGGAAATAAATTCCCTCTACTAGGAAAGAGAAAAATTATTTCCCTTTGTTTTCGGATATATAGTAGTAGGAAATTGTTAATTCTCATTCCGACAATATTAGCCCAGTATTGAACCAAAACTTTCCAAAAATAGTTGAATATTTCTTTTTTTTCTAATTTAAATATTAAAAAATTAATTAAAACATTAATTAAATTACACATAAATTATTTTCATTGCAAATAAAAATTATAATTTGTTATTTTTTTAACCACAGAATCACCGAGGAGATATGTGGAAGGAGAGGTGACAATTCACTATCGATCTCCAGTTCGTACAGAAACTAAAGAGATCCTGAGCGAGGAGGAGCTGGCTCGTAGAAGTGCGGAAAATATGCGCCGAGTGTATCAGGAGGAAAGACGTCGGAAATATCTTCAGGAACTTCACGACATTGATTCACGTCGTCATACAGACAATTTTATGTAAGAAATCATTTTTTTCAATTCAAAAAAGATAGCTTTCAAATATCATAAAAAGTAATGGACAAAATTGAATAATTTTGATAAAATATTGTCAGCCAAGATTCACCAAATATTGAACTAAACTAATTCTAATCTTGTTATTTTATTGTTTTTATTCACTTAAGTCCGAAACCAATTGCAGAAAATTTGCAAATGCGCCACAAAAAATTTTTTTTATTTAACCAAAATTTTTCTAAAAAAGATAATCAATTTTCATATTAATCTTCTTTTTTTATTTATTTTTATTCACATAAGTCCGAAACCAATTACAGAAAATTTGCCAAACTGCCACACATAATTTTTTTTATTTAATGAAAATTTGTCTAAAAAACGCTAATCAATTTTCCTATTAATCTTGTTATTTTATTTATTTTTATTTACTTAAGTCCGAAACCAATTGCAGAAAATATGCAACATGCCACACATAACTATTTTATTTAACGAAAATTTTTCTAAAAAAAGATAATCAAATTTCATATTAATCTTGTTATTTTATTTATTTTTATTCACTTAAGTCCGAAACCAATTGCAGAAAATTTGCAAATGTGCCACACAAAATTTTTTTTATTTAACGAAAATTTTTCTAAAAAAAGATATTCAGTTTTAATATTAATCTTGTTATTTTATTTATTTTTATTCCCTTAAGTCCGAAACCAATTGCAGAAAATTTGCAACATGCCACACAATTATTTTATTTAACGAAAATTTTTCTAAAAAAAGATAATCAATTTTGATATTAATCTTCTTTTTTTATTTATTTTTATTCACATAAGTCCGAAACCACTTGCAGAAAATTTGCAAATGTGCCACACAAAATTTTTTTTATTTAACGAAAATTTTTCTAAAAAAAAGATATTCAGTTTTAATATTAATCTTGTTATTTTATTTATTTTTATTCCCTTAAGTCCGAAACCAATTGCAGAAAATTTGCAACATGCCACACAATTATTTTATTTAACGAAAATTTTTCTAAAAAAAGATAATCAATTTTCATATTAATCTTCTTTTTTTATTTATTTTTATTCACATAAGTCCGAAACCAATTACAGAAAATTTGCCAATCTGCCACACATAATTTTTTTTATTTAACGTAAATTTGTCTAAAAAACGATAATCAAATTTCATATTAATCTTGTTATTTTATTTATTTTTATTCACTTAAGTCCAAAACCAATTGCAGAAAATTTGCAACATGCCACACGTAACTATTTTATTTAACGAAAATTTTTCTAAAAAAAGATAATCAATTTTAATATTTATCTTGTTATTTGATTTATTTTTTCACACGTTGAAAAAATTAATTTATTGAAAATAAACTTCACACGATTGAAAATTAAATATTACAAAGTTAATAATATACGTTCTACTCGAATGCAACGGAATTCACGCATACTGCTAAATATAAAAAAGAATAGCTATAATTCAGGGTCACGCAAAGTTTCTTGTTACGCGCGATACACATCGACAAATTTTAAATAATGAAAGGAACGCTAAGTCTAGTCCCGTTTAAAATGGTAAAATAAAGAACAATGTTAACCATCCATAATAAGAAGTATAACTTTAAAAAAAATATAGTCTTTTTAACTTCAGTGTCATTAAATTTTTAAAAGTGTTTCTATTTCATTTTAATTATGGTTTATTTAAGTTATATTTTTTTGTATACCGAAAATAATAAATTTCCTGATTTGAAGAATCAATAGTTACAATTTATTTATGTTCAATGAAAAGAAAAGTTAAATTGTTTTTCTATTTATTAATTTGATAATTAGTATTTTTAATTTAAAAATTTATACTTTAGTACAGATTTGTAAAATAATTTTTTTTTTTGAAATCATTATAATTTGATAATTTATGATTTGATTTTCCTTTACAGTGTCGGGTTTTGTTTGAAGTTTTCTTTGTGGTTTTTTTATGACGATCCTGTAAAGTTGGCAATTATTTTTTCTGTAATATAAATTTTATGGCGTTACATTTTTTTTGTTGAAAATTTCAGACCTTCTCAGAAGTCCCCGATATCACTGAACAGATACGATGATTTTCTTGACGACCTTAGCTACAGAAGCAGATCCCAGGAGCAAACACCGGAACCACGATTGGTGGCAAGGGCTCTTTACAATTTTATTGGCCAATCTCCACGAGAGTTGACTTTCCGTAGAGGAGATCTTATTTTTGTCAGACGTCAAGTAGATAAAAATTGGTATGAGGGAGAGCACAATGCAATGCTCGGACTTTTTCCATTCAATTACGTTGAGGTAATAAAAAAGACAGACATTCTAAAAATTATAATTTAACGAAAATAATATTTCTTTACAAAAGTTTTTTTTTGAAAAAATTGATTCTAAATTAAAACAAATTAATTATCAAATAAATTACATTTTAATTGTAGATCCTTCCATTTGATGGAATTAGGACAACGCCAAAGAAACCCTACGAAGGACAGGCACGAGCCAAATTCAATTTTATCGCTCAGACTAATCTGGAATTATCGTTGGCAAAAGGTGCAGCAATTAATAAATTCATTATATGATCAAATTTAATTTAAATTCCAATATTATATGAAAATTTAATAGTTAGACCTTTTTTTATTTACTCTATAATTTTAATATCAAGAATATGAAAATAAAATCGTATAATTTACAGGAGAATTAGTGGTTTTAACGAGAAGAGTTGATGAAAATTGGTACGAAGGACGTATTGGAAATAGAAAAGGAATTTTTCCTATTTCTTATGTTGATGTTATCATCGAGCCAGGACACAGGCCAGGTAAAATTAATTTTTCGTAAAATATCTTATAAAATTTATTGAATTTTAGAAAAATATTTTGCACTGTATTCTAAAAACGTTTCAGCATATTTTTTTCTAAATTACAGAAACACCTGTTCAAAGTAAACCTATTGCATCGCCAGCAGCTCATAGTTTATTATCGAATGGTACATCGAGCGGAAAAATGAGCATGGGTCCTCATCATTATACACCTTCAATACCAATTAATACCAATTCTTCCCAACCACATTATAATTCACTTGTAAGTTTTTTAATTTCTAATAGATTAATTCAACATTAAGTATTGAATAACATAAAAACAAATGTTGACTAAAGCAACAAAACAAAAAAAAGGAAACTGGGCTACAATATTGTTGATTTTAAGACCTACTCCTCTGCTACCTTCGTTATGGCTATTTTTCGCCTTATCACTATATACTTTTCTCTACATAAGAAGCAGCTTAGGCTTCTACTGCAGTTTGCAAACTTAAGATCGACTTCACCACATTTAAAGCATAAAGTCGATTTGTCTGTTACCTGAAAAACTTTTCCTATGTGGCCGTATGCCAAGCAGCGGTGGCATCGAACGAGCATCATCCAGGTTGCGGATCTCCAGTGAGACCTGTCGATCCTCCTTCCCCATTAGTCCTCTCCGGACTTGTTATTTTATTTATTTTTATTCACTTAAGTCCGAAACCAATTGCAGAAAATTTGCAAAACTGCGACACAAAATTTTCATTTTTGACGAAAATTTTTCTAAACAAAGATAATCAATTTTCATAATAATCTTGTTATTTTATTTATTTTTATTCACTTAAGTCCGATACCAATTGCAGAAAATTTGCCAAACTGACACACATAATTTTTTTTATTTAACGAAAATTTGTCTAAAAAACGATAATCAATTTTAATATTAATCTTGTTATTTTAGTTATTTTTATTTACTTAAGTCCGAAACTAATTGCAGAAAATTTGCAAAACTGCCCCTCCGCATAGCATGTAGTGCCACCAAGGTTGCTATCTCCATTATCCGCTGTGGCGTGCTTTGTCTTCGCCTCACTGACAAGATCCTGAAGAGTCGTAAGTCCGTACTTAATGGTCATGTTGATATTCTTCTGGACTTTACAAACTTTACCATTTTAGCGATCTCCTCTTCGATCCTCTGAAGACATTTAGCTTTTTCCTACCTTAGCTTTAAATACTTCTTGCGTTCTTCTTAAATTGTCTCCTTGTATAGGTTAGATAGAATCTAACTGCTTCCTCTACTGACACTAAAAACGCTGAAAGCTCTACCTTTTCTAATTCCAAGTCTTTCCAAACGGACTTGGAGAACCTTAAGAAACTGAGTGGCTCCATGGTCCTAATTATGAAGTTAGAAATGAAAAGTTTTTTACTGTTCCTCTTTTTTACACATTATCATGACAGGACTTGTTTTAGTCTCTCTTTGCATAGCTGATCCAATTTCTTTGAACTTACAATTTATGTAACCTTGTTGCGGAAGGATAGAATAAAGGCCTTTTTTAATTTATTTATCGTTTCGATTTATCAGTAATATTTTTTTTCAGCCACGATTGGGTGGAGGTAAATTACATGTTGCGCCTGTCAATGAAACATTACACATCGACACTCATTCAGAACCAATGGCGTAAGTTCAAAATTTCATCAGAAAAAACTAGCAACATTTTTTTCACTCCCTCGAGTTTACATTAAATTTTTTCATTTCAGATACCGAGCGTTATACAACTATAGACCGCAAAATGAAGATGAATTGGAACTAAAAGAAGGAGATACTGTTTATGTGATGGAAAAATGTGACGATGGCTGGTACGTGGGTTCTAGTCAGCGTACCGGATACTTTGGAACATTTCCCGGAAACTACGTGGAGAGATTGTGAGGACGGCTAAAATCTCGAGATCTCGAACGAGCCAAAAGATCGTAAGGAAGAGCTCGCTAAAACGTCGAACTATCTTTCTCAAAATGTATCTAATTGAAAAATAACAAATCCAAGAATTTTTTTTAAATACATTTAAAAAAAAGACACTTTTTTGAAACGTTTTTAAAAAAAATGTTTTTAAGAAAGTTTTTTTTTGAAAGAATAAAGATTAAGACATCTTTTGAAATCTTTTTTTTATAGCTATATGGAGAAGCTATTTGCATATTTTTTAAAAATACACCAGTCTTCCTGCGATCATTGTCACGTCAATCGCGACCAGATCAATTCGTTAAATTGACAAATGTTTTTTGTCTTTCTGACGTATCATCTACCAAATATAAATTTTAAGGTAACATGTAAGTAGTGTACATTAACGTTTATTAATTTATTATTGTTATATCAATTTTGCAATTGTACATCCACAATATATACTACTTTCCTCGCAAAAAGGGCCTACCAAAAAAAAAAAAAAATTAATAATAATTCCAGAGCGCATTAATAAACTATTTATCCAATTTTTTATTTATTTTTTATTTAATCTGAGAAATTTTTATGACTTCCATTCAAGAGAATTTTTTTGTCACCTGTAACGTGTACAAATTACACGCTTTTTAAAATTTTTTAAAAATGATTTCAAGATTAAACTTCTTGTGGTATGTTGCTTAATAAATAGCATATTTCGTTGAAGTGAAATCTTAATTATATAGTTACCGAAATAATTTTAGAAATAAATAAAATAATGCACCATCAATTTTATTATTGAGCCTTCTGAAATTCATATTTTTGTAAACATTATTTATACCTAGTATTTAAAAAAAAATTACGAACGATTTAAGACCTAAGGTCTGCGAATTATATACATATTACAATAACTAATTTAATATTTATACATAAAAAATCTTATTAATTATATTAAAAAAAATCGGATTAACTATATAATATAAAACATTTATTATATATAAAAAGAAAGCAATTATATAGAAAACATTTATTATAAAAATAAATATTATTTAAAACATCTATTACATATATAAAAAAAAAACATTTATTATAAAAACTATTATATAAAATACATTTAATATACAGAAAACATTTATTATATATAAAACAATTTATTATGTATAAAAAAATATTATTATTATTATGTAAAAATAATTATTGTGTATAAAAATTGATTGCATAGTTTAAATGAAATGTAACCACATTTTTTTATGACGAAAAAAAAACCACTATTTCTTGAGATATTTTATTTTATTATTAAAATACTTTCTCAAGATAATAATTTAAAATTCAGATCGATTTTTTGATTTTAATCTACAAACAATTATTTAATTAAATAAATGCAAAGATTTAGTGCTGTTAAAAATTTAAATAATTTTAAAAATAATTTCAAATTCACCGTGTTTTAAAATAATGGCGTCAATATGGACGCAGTTCAAAAATGAGACAATACTAAAAATAAATGCTAGATATTTATCGTTAAAACTGTTATTGCAGCTAGAATAAAAATTGTTAGTCAAATGGCTATTCTTAAAATGAAGGGCATTAAAATCTCTATAATGAAACCAGCACATCTTTTAAGAATTTTTTAAATTCACATTTTTTCTAGTCAGCAATTCTTCTGACTGGCTTTACACTATTTATATCCACTTTTTCCAACAACGTATATGTATATTGAAAATAAAACATAATGCCATTATAAATCCACATATCCATCCTGATATCAATAAAAATATTTCCTGGTAAAAAAGAAGAAAAAAAAACAATAAAATAAAAATTTTTTTCTCTTTTGTCAGGTTTAACTAAGCGCTCTGTTAAAAAAGAAATAATTGCGTGTGGCCTATTAATCATATGGCGAGGAAGAAACGAATGATAAAAATTCTATTATAACTATAAGCGACTGTTTTTAGATTATAAGAAACGAAAAAAAATCGCTGGCAAGTTAAATTTTTGTGAATAATCGTCGCCTTGTTCGGCCAATTTGTTTTTCTTTTTATGCTATTTTTTTAAACGTAGGAAAACTTGTATGATCGAATGGCCATAGATTTACAGTCTGAAAGTTTTGGTTTTTATTTTCTATTGTCCTGAATCTTTGTGTTGCATTAGTTTTGCATAAATATTGTTTTTTTTCTGTTTCTTTATTTTAGCACTAACGATGTCAGTATGCATTGTACACTTCGAGTAAAAATAAAACCTATAGTCTACTATGTTCTCAATATGTTTTTTTTTTTTTAAATTAACCATAACTCTATTTTTTTATTTTTCTCTTATAATTTTTGGTATAGAAATTTTCAGGATTTTTTAATTCTTTTTACAAGAGTGACAGCATTTTCGTCGAAAAACTGGAATTTGGCAGTAACGTTTAAGATTTTTTAGAGTACAATATTGACTCTTGTCTTTCTGACAATAATTTGCACAATTTGGATTTCTTTTACTTGCTCCTCTGCACAATCGCATTTTGTCAGGTAAATATGTACCATTGCAAGAGGCAAACGATTCACCTTCAAGTGGAACACAACGTGCAATTTGCGATTGTATTCCAATTCCGCAACTTTGTGAACACTGCAGATAAAAAAAAAAAAAATTTCCCAGTAAAACTGAAAGTTTAAAACATTTTTTTAATTTCAAAAATTATTTTCCTACCGAAGACCATTCTGAGTATACCCATTGTCCTGCACAAGGAATTCTATTACATTCTCTTTCTGTAATTGGCTCCTTTTGCATTTGGCATTTATCAGGAGAGACCATAGTTTTATAAACGAGACGCTCATTGTCCATCGTCATGTGACTATCTGTAAATGAAGAATGTACACAAAATAATTGTCTCTGTTGATAACCGTTGTTTCCACAAGTTTTTGTACAACCTTCCCAAGAGCCTTCCAACCATTTAAATTCACAACTGTAAATTAAAAATATAATTATAAAAATGCCTAGTGCTTGTGAATTTAGTTATTAAATTCCCACCTAAATGAATTGCATTTCTCAACGTCTGCCAATGGTTTCAAAGTAAGATGACATTTTTTTTTATGAACAATTTTTCCTGTTTCCATATCCTTACATGCTAATGTTTTATGACGATATCCACCACCGCAAGTAACAGAACAAGAACTCCAACCTCCTAATAACCAATTATATTTATTTTCTTTTCTCTGATTCCGATTCACGACATAGCGAAACAATGCGAATATAAATACTCCTTTTCTTACATCCAAATCTGATAGAGATAACTGTTGTAATTTTTTTTTTTTTTTTCAAAAGAAGATAACAAAAAATTATGATTCATTTTCAGTTCAGTCGAATTAATATAATAATTTTAAGTTAAATTAATTCACTTACGGATACAACAATATCTTTAAGAAGAGGACCTCTAGCCCACATTGTGTAAGTTTCATTAATTCTTTGAGGACGAAATGCTGCTCCTTCTACAATGACAATTTTACCCTTGCCTTGTGAATCGAAATATTTGATATCATTTTTTTGCTTTCGTCCATCTTTAATTGTTATAATTACACTATTATTTTGAATGTACATTAATCCCGAAATACTAACATCGACTCTGATATTGTATGATGATGATGGAATGACGCCTAATCGTACAGAAGCTAAATGTAACAAACAATAAAAATTTTCATCTAATTTTGCGACCTAGTTTCACGAATTCGTAATCTAAGTGAATTTTTAATCTACTTACGTCTACGCAATTTTCGCTGAAATTTTTTGACAACATTCTCGCATGTTGAATTGTCCCCATCGCAAACCCCACACGAGTCTTTTATTTTTTCAGAATTTAAAACTTTGTCACATCCCATTGGGTAACACTTCCCCTAAAATTTAATATAAGTATTAATTTGTTAATACAGTATTATATTTTTCATTTATATTTATTGCAAATGAAAATATTTCTTACTAAATTGAAAAAAACTTACTTTAACACAAATATCACTATTTTCATATGAGCATGGAGTTCCATCCTTAAGATTCTTGTTGCTAATATATAAATTTCCACTTTCTTTACTTCTGCAAATCAATTGACATTTTAATTCCTCTTTTTCGGATACATAAGGAAGCCATGTATTGTAGAGAATTAATAAACTTTTCTCCATGTCAATTAGACTTGAAAGTTGAGAACACTGTTGTGATCTTAAATCAACCATTGTTGGACAATCATTCTGTTGACAAATTCTAAATTCTTGACTTTTCTCTTTGCAATTATTCTCCATGGATGTTCTAAATTTTACAGATAAAACTTATTGTTGTTAATTTACTTTGATAAGAAAACTTTTTTTCCAACTTTTTCAAACTTAATTAATTTAGTAACTTACTTATATTCGCTACATTTTCTTGTTCTTATTTGTATTCCAATTCCACAGGTTGTTGAACATTTATCCCAATTGCTCCAATTATTTAAAGATTCATTTTTTTCATGTTCTAGTGGACTTAAATTAAATTTCATATCAATAGACTCACAAAATCCATTTATACACCACTGAAAAGGTAGTTTAATTACTAATTCTTAAATCTTAAATATTGGTTATATAAAATTTTACCTTATTTTCACCACACTCTGTTCCATCTAAAGGTGGTCCCTTTTTAGTTTTACAAATTTTTGATATATTCGGTTTGCCGCACCACAAATAGGAACAGGGTTCTAGTAAATCAATGCTGCGACATAATTGATAACTGTAAGAATTTTTTTTTTTGGTAATTCACAATTAAGAGATGAGTATGTAAATAATTTATGTCTTTAGATTACCCTTCACCAAATTCCATTCTACACTGTTCATCCATTGTAAAAGTAAATAAGGTAGTTTCTTTAATTTGTGTTGTACTTTCTCCTTCTGTGGGTTGATTCAACAGGCACGACCATTGTCTAGAATAGTTTTTTATTTACGAATTTTTTAATACTAAATAAATAAAATTTCCCCGCCGATAGATGTTTACCAACAAGAATCATGTAAATTCTTGGTAGAACTTGTCGTGGTGGTGGGACTTTTCACTAAAGGACATCCAAAAAACAAAATGTAATATAAGGAGATATGGAAAGCAAACGTTTAAGTAAAGACATTTACGGTGCAGGGGAGGGATACCCTAGTGTCGACGCTGCTAGAAGTGAGCAAGTTTGCTTCCCAGCGGAAGAAGAAATTTCCTTCCGTCTAATCCAAGCAACGAGACAATCGAAGAAGAACGCAAGTGTTTTAAGGCAGGAGGAAGCTGAATGTCTTCAGAGGATCAAAGAGGAGATCGCTAAGATGGTAAAGTTAGCAAAGTCCAGAAGAATGTCAACATGACTATTACGTACGGACTTACGACTCTTCAGGATCTTGTCATTGAGGCGAAGACAAAGCCCGCCGCAGCTGATAATGGAGATATCAACCTTGGCGCTGCTACAGGCTATGAGGAGGGGCAGATTTGCAAATTTTCTGCAATTGGTTTCGGACTTAAGTGAATAAAAAAACAACATTAATATGAAAAATGATTATCTTTTTTCGAAAAATTTTAGTTAAATAAATAAATTTTGTGTGGCACATTTGCAAATTTTCTGCAATTGGTTTCGGACTTAAGTGAATAAAAAAATATAACAAGATTAATATTAAATTTGATTATCTTTTTTTAGAAAAATTTTCGTTAAAGAAAGAAATCATTTGTGGCAGTTTTGCAAATTTTCTTCAATTGGTTTCGGAATTAAGTTAAAAACAAATAAATAAAAAAAGAAGATTAATATTAAATTTGATTATCTTTATTCAGAAAAATGTTCGTTAATTAAAAAAAATTATGTGTGGCAGTTTGGCAAATTTTCTGCAATTGGTTTCGGACTTAAGTGAATAACCAACCCAGAAGAGGCGGACAAGCCGGAGAAATTGACACGCATAATAAATGTGAGAGAAAATAAATATCACAATTTATAGCATTATTTCTATGTAAGTTTAGAATTGATATTGATACTTACTGAGCCTTTCGATGAAATTCGTTTCTTGAACATGATGACCAGTGAAATCGACGAAATGTTGCTGCTACCATTGGTGCCATGACACTACCATAAATTGCCTCTTCTCCACAAGTATTTCCAGAATCAATATCACCATCATGTGATAATCCAAGACTTATGACAAGAGAAAAAAGAAATACAAAAGTTGGTGCAATACATTTTTACAAACTTTTATCAAATCTCTGTCTGCAGAAAGTCTGATGGTTCAATAATAATATGTGATTTTCATAATTGTTTTAAACTTACATATGAGCAATTTCGTGTGCAATTATAAAAGCACTACTTAAGCCCTCATCACGATTAAGAGCACATGATCTAGAAGGATCACAAACTCCAGAAACTGGAGCATATCCAGATGGTCCTCCAATATCTAATCTCGTCAGCCATACAGCAACATCGTGTGATTCTTCAGTAGTGGATAACAATTTTTGATGCCACTTGTTGACATTTTCTAATGATTTTCTAGCATTTCCTGGAGAAATCTTGAAAATTTTATACAAAAATGTTTCTCATCAATTTAAAAATTCAATTTTGTGTTTTTCATTTGTAATTAAAAATAAAATTCATACCATATTGTCATTTTTACTCGTATATAGCATTACTTTTGCAATAACGAGTTTCATATTTGAGTTTAATGATGGATCACTGTAAATTGCACTGACCTATTCGAGTTTAAATTATTATTAATAAAATTAACAAAAAATAAATGACAAAAATTATTATCATTACTTACAATATTTACAAGTGCAAGAATATAATGTTGCATTCGAGTACCATGAAACTCAACTACTGAATGATCTGCAGCGATTCCAATTTCCAACCATCGTGGATAGACGTTATCATAAACAATTTTTCTTTCTAAACAAATTATTTAAATAACAATCCATAATTTGTTTTTTGTCATTTTACTATATGGGGAAAATAAGGAAACATAATTGGATTTTTGAGAAAAAAAGATTTAATTAAATGTTTTAAATAACCTACTTGGAAGTTTAGCCCATTTCCAAGTTTTATCGAAAAAATATGCAACTTCCTGTAAATTTGGCTCTTTTTCCAAGGTTTCCTGATTTTCAGCATCAATCAAAACTTTTCCACTTTCTATTTCAAAAGTATCACCAGTTAAATTGTAAAATTTTTCTAAATTTTCTTTTCTCTCATCCCTCTTTATTCTCCTAATTAAAAAAATAAAAGTTTTTGTAATTTTTATTTTATTAATTGAATAATAAATATTCATACCTAAATTCTTTCTTTTTATTTGTTTGTAATAATAAATTATTATCATTCTTTATCGATTTCCAATTAATATTTTTATCCTCAAAAAGAAGATGTTTTCCATTTTTTATTGGTTGTAGAAAAAAATAACGATTTTCAATTATCATTAAACCATAAAATTCTTTTTGACATATTGTCAATATAACTAGAGAATTATTTTCTTCATTATCAATGATTCCACGAACCGCTTGACAATTCAATGGAAATTTGGATTTTTCATTTTTAATCTCCTCTAAATGAATCCAATCAATATCAAAATATGATGGAATAATTAATGCACTGTTTAATTTTGTTTTTAATGTCCAATTACTTAGTGATATAAATATTGAATTCTCATCAATATCAAATAGAGATCTTCTTCTACGAATTTCTTCTCGCGATATTACAGTGGGATAAACAATTTCTTGAAAATTTGACTCTAAGAAATCTGATTGACTTCCTGTGTTTAGTATCAAGAATATCATAATCAAAAAGAAATTAATCATTTTTGTTGATTCCTCTATAAAAAAAAACATTTAAAAGCAAGTATTTTACTTTTTTTTGTTGTAAATAATGAAATTACATTTTCAAGTTTAAAAAATTGTAAATTTCATTAAAACACTTTTGAGAATCACTTGTGACACTAAAGTTAAATTATGAAACATTTTTTTGTAATTAAGATTTATTTTTGATAAAGATAATAATTTTTTTTTGTAAAATTCTTATGGTATTTGAAAAATTTACACTGTCGCGTGTATAAATGAACAAAATTAACAATTATCATTCAATTAGAGTGAAACTGCAGTCGACTGAATGTCCTCGCCGCAACTGGCAGCCACATGGAGAAATTATTTCGTTCGTAGAATATAATACGTGAGCTTCATATAATGTTTGAAATATATATATATATATATGTATATCTTTATACAAACGAATGTGAGTGAGTGGAAGATGGAATTATGTCCTCTTGGCACGCACGAGATTCTAATAATGACCGCTTTATGCCATCAGACTTGTGGATACTTGAAGGCGCTTTACTGTTCTGTATTTTCCACAAAAGGGTCATCTGGACAAGCTTACACATATATATCTGCTGGGGTCTTTCTTTATCTTAAAATAAATTTATAGCATACCAATATGCCATAATCAAAATTTCTACTGTATTTATTTTCTTTTTCATAAAAGCAAGACAAAAAAAATATATATTAAAATTTACAGTCTAGTAATTTTTATTTTGATAATTAATTTTATAACAAAATCTGAAAAATTTTTTATTGTTTAGTTATTTCTCTATTTTTCACACACGTAACAATTAAATGACAATTAATTACATATCAATTGTTTACGTGAACATTTATTAACAATAATTTCACCTAAAAATGCAATCAATGAAATAATCCATCCAGGTATCATAATAATATACAATAATTTATATTTAATTTCATATTTTTTCTTTTTTTTAAATGGTCCCTTATATGTTGCAAAACGTTCAACAAAAAAATTTAATATTCCACTTTCGGCAAATTTTCTATATACTTTAGCCATTTCAAATATATAATCATTACCCTCACGAACTTTTGCAAATTGATTAAGACTTATTTGATCTTTTTCAATGACATTAACATATTGATGAATATTTGGATGTGATAACAATACAAATTTATTTATTTCAACAGCTGAATTATTTAATAAACCAGTTGTAAATAAATTTGGAAAAAATTCATTATAAAGATATTCATCGCTTATATTTGTACAATAATTACACAATTTTCTATGTGCATTTTTATATTCTGGACATGCATAATCTCTTATTTCTTTGTCACATAAAATTTTTAAATCAGATTTCATTAAATCATCAATTGTAAATATTTCTTGAAATGTTCCTGGTGTTGATAAATTTTCTGTTATTGATGCAAGATATGCTTGAAAAAAAACAAACGATGGCAATAGAAAGAAAAATAAAAAACATTTTAACCATCTTATATCTAAAAATTCACCAACCGTTACACCTAAAAATATACCATAGATATCGAAAATAATTTTCATTGATTCCGATTGACGTACAGTAAAACAAATAATTCCAATAAATAGAAAAATAACAAATATAAAAATCCAAGTTGTTCGATCAATTGGATTGAGAAGTTCATTTAAATGAAAAACATTATCACCACGTGGAATGATAAATACTTTTTGTACGAGTCCAATGGAAAATATATATTTATCATAAGACGGTGGTACACGTGGAACTAAATTTAAAACAACATTTAAATTATGTCTTTCAAAATGTTCACTAATCTCGGCACCATTTACTTTCCAAACATATATTGGCTTAAAATTCATTATTCTTCCTAATTCCTTGAGAAGATTGCCAGCTACACCACCAGGATTAGGTCCTTTATTTTCGACGTATGGTAAAAAATGTGGCTGTATCATAAATGTGATATTACATCCGCCAAAATTTTTTATCGGTGGATATAAAGAAGGCTGATAAAGAATTACTGTTCCATTTTCACATCTTCCCCACTGAAAAATAATAAAAATAATAATCAGATCACGAATTGATGAAAAAAGGTCATAAATCTAGGTCACGAAATCAAGGAAATAGGTCATTAATCTAGATCAGGAATTCTCAGAGTTAGGTCGCGAATCTAGATCACTATTTCGAGAAAATAGGTTGCGAAATTAAATCACGAATTGATCATGAATCTAGGTCACGAATTGGTGAAAATAGATCATGATTGTAGATCACGAATTCTAGGAAATGGTCATGTATCTAGATCACGAATTAATGATAGTGGGTCATGGATGTAGGTCACGAATTCTCAGAATTAGGTCGCGAATCCAGATCACTATTTCAAGAAAATAGGTTGCTAAATTAAATCACGAATTGATGATAATAGGTCATGAAAATAGATCACGAATTCTTAGAATTAGGTCGCGAATCTAGATCACTAATTCTCGGAAATAGGCCATGATTCTTGATCACGAATTCTCGGAATTAGCCGGCAAATCTAGGTCACTAATTCGCGAAACTAGGTTGCGAAATTAGATCACGAATTCGTAAAATAGGTCATTAATCAAGAACACGAATTCACTAAACTAGGTCTCGAATCTATATCACTATTTCGCTAATCTAGGACATGAATATAGGTCACGAATTCTCAGAATTAAGTCATGAATCTAAGTCACGAATTCTCAGAATTAGGTCACGAATTTAAATCACGAATTGATCAAAAAGGCCATGAATCTAGATCACGAATTCTTGGAATTAGGGCGCTAATCTAGGTCACTAATACGCGAAATTAGATCACAAATTCGCGAAAACAGATAATGAATCTAGATCACGAATTCTCTGAAATAGGTCATTAATCAAGAACACGAATTCACTAAACTAGGTCTCGAATCTATATCACTATTTCGCTAAACTAGGACATGAATATAGGTCACGAATTCTCAGAATTGGGTCACGAATCTAAATCACGAATTGATCAAAAAGGCCATGAATCTAGATCACGAATTCTCGGAATTAGGGCGCTAATCTAGGTCACTAATTCGCGAAAACAGATAATGAATCTAGATCACGAATTGATGATAATAGGTCATGAATCTAGGTCACGAATTCTCTGAAATAGGTCATGAATCTAGATCATGAATTCGCTAAACTAGGTCACAAATCCAGATCACGAATTCTTGGAAATAGGCCATGAATCTTGATCACGAATTCTTGGAAATAGATCATGATTGTAGATCACGAATTCTCGGAAACTAAGAAGCAAATCTAGATCAGAAATTCGTGAAAATAGATTATATTAATAAATAGTGATAAAACACAAAATAATTGAAAAATATACCTCAATTAATTTACCAATTGTACATGTGCCAGGCGAAACATAAGGTGACGCTCCAAGAACAATTGTCCTATTAAGTTTCTCCATAAAAACGATAAATCGAACATTCATTGAATAGCCTCTCGTCCAAACTTTATCAACAACACCTTGAAGAATTCTCGCTCCATCAGTGTGAAAGAATACATTAATAACACATTTATGATAATGAACACGATTATATAAAAAATACAATGATGATTGTAATTCCTTTTTATTTGCAACTTCGACAAGGCAAAAATTTTCAAATGGAAAATGATCATGTTTCATATCAGTGATTCGTGACAATAATGATGGTACACGTCCTTGAATTGGTACTTTAGAATTTTTAAATGGATATTCCGCGGAATCATCAAAGTCACTTGAATAAATTTGTGTTCGTCGATTTTTATGGGGATATTTGCCAATTATTTTTGTCGAGCAACTGCGAATTTCATTTTCAATTAAATGTTTTGATCTAACATGTTCAATGAATGTTTGTAAATGTGCATTTGCAGAAAAAATTTTTATAAAAATCAATAAAAGAAACAGGAGATTTATCATGATTTTCATAGTTGTAAATGTTCTTTTAGACTGCTAAAAAAAAAAAAATTTGTTTTTCTGAAGACGATAATATTGATTAATCTTTTCTTGAATGTAAATGACAAGCAACATTTTCTTTTTAATAATTCAATCTAAGAAATTGAAGAGGACTTTCCACTTTCTTTGATGAATTAGAAGAAATTGAATTTAAATATTTGGTCATTTATTTTAGGAAATAATTTTATTTCAATTGATTGAAAATAATTGGTAAACATGATTGATGTGAAAAAAAAATTAATCAATGAGAAAGGAAAAAAAAAATTGTAATAAATTATTTATTCATCAGATTATCATAAAAAAAAATGATGACATTGATTAAACTTCACAGATAATTTAAATAATTACTATTTTATATCTATTGCTTTTCAAATTTTTTTCTTTAAAAAAAAAAATTAATAAACTCAGCGAAAATGAAGTGAAGTGGAAGAAAAATGTAGTTGTGTTATCGAATAAAAAGTAAACAATTACTAGCCAATTAATTAAGTAATGTTCATAAATAAATTTTCCCTCTTTTTTTTTAATTTCTGTTAAGTTGAGAACGGAGTCAATTTTTTTTTCATAAATCCGTGTGTATATTACTTAATTGCCTATACCTTTTTTCCATATTTATTTTTACAAATCGACATTGATTGATTACTAATCTTTCTTGCATCTTATATAAGAAAATGATAAAATTTATTCTTCACGTATAAGAATTATGCTAGTCATGCAAAGTGTGAGTAAACTATGGCAATCACGTAATGTACTTGTGTGTCTCAGTCGCAGTAAAGCTATCCGGTTGTTCTCATACATGCGCTTAACAGAAAAAATTATCTTCTAAATAAGAAAAAAAAAAAAATGTTTATCACATCGTGGACATATGTTTTGGCAACAATAATCGGTGCATTTGCAATTTATTTTCTACAAATATTAAAAAGACATAAATATTTTGAAAATCATGGAATTCCATATAAATCACCAGTGCCAATATTTGGTAATATGTTGCCAATAATATTTCGTCAAAAAAATATGGGTACAGTAATTCGTGAATTATATAATAAATATCCAAATAAAAAATATTTTGGATTTTATGATTTTATGAATCCTGTGATTGTATTACGTGATATGGAATTAATAAAATCAGTGGCTGTAAAGAATTTTGATAGTTTTCCTGATCATCGAACATTTGTTAAAGAAACATGGGATCCATTATTTGGTAGAAATTTATTTTCATTAAAAGGTGAAAAATGGCATGATGTACGTTCATTATTGAGTCCTGCATTTACATCAAGTAAAATGAAAATAATGTTTAAACTTATTTCACAATGTGCATCGGATTTTACTGAAATTCTTGCTAACGATATTGAGGGTAATAAAATGAGAGAAATGAAAGAGGCATTTACAAGATATACAAATGATGTGATTGCAACGTGTGCATTTGGTATTAGCGTTAATACAATGAAGGATCCAAATAATGATTTTTATGTATTAGGTAAAGAAGCAACAAATTTGGAGAAATTAACGATAAAATTTTTTTTCATGAGAGAATTCCCTTATATTATGAGATTACTTAATATTAAATTGGTGGCACCACGTATTGAGAAATTTTTCACAAATATTATTAAATCAACAATTAATATACGCGATACAAAGGGAATAACACGACCCGATATGTTGCAATTAATGATGGATGCAAGAGGAAAAGGAAATAAAGTTGATCTCACAGCTGAAGAAATGACTGCTCAAGCTTTTATTTTCTTCTTTGGTGGATTTGATTCAACATCAACAAATATGTCATTTGCAGCGCATGAAATTGCAATTAATTCTGATGTTCAAAAAAAATTACAAAATGAAATTGATTGTGTTTTACGTGATACAAATGGTGATCCAACATATGATGCAATTAATGGAATGGAATATTTAGATGCTGTTGTTAATGAAACACTTAGGAAATATCCACTTGTTCCATCATTGGATAGAGTTTGTTCGCGAAAATTTGAACTTCCACCAAATGAAATTGGTGGTAAGCCATTTATCATTGAACCAGGAATGACAGTTTGGATACCAGCTGTTGCTTATCATTATGATTCACAATATTATGAGGAGCCAGAGAAATTTAATCCTAATCGATTTTTGGGTAATGATGCTGCAGCAAGTATCAAATCAACGACATTTTTATCATTTGGCTTAGGTCCAAGACAATGTATTGGAAATAGATTTGCTTTATTGGAAACGAAGACAATGTTGTTTCATCTTTTAGCGAGATGTAATTTGAAGATATGTCCTAAAACCAACGTTCCTATGAAATTAAGCAAAAAAACCTTTGGTTTTAGTGCTGACGGTGGTTATTGGATGCAACTCGAAAAAAGGGATAATAAATTCTTGAGCAATGGAATTGGGAAAAATTAGAATTTCTGATTTTAATTTATGAACTGAACTGTAAAAAAAAAGGATAGTAATTTTTAATTATTATGATAAAAGAAATTTTCGTTAATAAGAAATTTTTAATCTGTAACTTTGAGCATTTTTGATATCGATATTTAGAAATAAGTTTTATAAATAATAACAAATAATAATCATTGATAATGAGTATAAAAAATGTTTTATATTTTTTTCCTTAAGTTTGCATCGTTTTTTAAAATAAAAAAAAATATCTTTATCTTCAAACTGACATGTTTTGTAATAATTATTATCTGTTACACAACCCATTATAATCAGTTTTATTTTACTCTAATAACTTATAAACAAACATGCAAATATTTTTGCAGAAATTTTTTTTTTTTTTAGTTCTGAAAATGCAAATAAAAAAAGAAAAATACATAATTATATAGAGTTACCAAGCAGACAATTATAAATAGATCAGATGAGAAAATAATAACTGAACTTCATATTCAAAGTCATGCTTACGTGTGCAAAAATATATGGTTGACACTTTCTTCCTTATGTGTGGCCATTAAAATGTTTTCTTTACCTATGACCATGACCATGCTCTTCTAAATCAAATTTCAGTCTTAGAAAATCACTTCACAAGTGCGGTCCTTGATATATTGCGAAACACGCACTCTACGCGATTTTAATAAAAAAACAATCATGATTTTCAATATTTTGATGATAATTATCATCATATGTTTATTAATTATTCTTGGAATAAAATTTTTGAAAATTGTCAAATGTCATAAATTTTTTAAATTACATGGAATTCCCCATCAATCACCGTTACCAATTTTTGGCAATATATTACCAGTTTTATTACGTCAAATAAATGTAAGCGATTTAATTAAAAATTTATACAACAAATATCCAAATACAAAATACTTTGGACTTTATGATTTTGCTAATCCAGGAATTGTAATTCGTGATATTGAATTAATAAAATCAATTGGTATCAAGAATTTTGAAAATTTCACCGATCACGGTATGTTTGGTGAGGAGCCATGTGATCCATTATTTGGTAGAAATTTATTTTTATTAAAAGGCAAAAAATGGCATGATATTAGATGTTTATTGAGTCCTGCATTTACATCAAATAAATTGAAATTAATGTTTAAATTAATTTCACAATGTGCAATTAATTTTACTGAAATTTTAACAAATGAAACAAATGAATTAAAAGAAATGAAAGAGACATTTGATAAATATACAAATGATGTTATTCTTAATTGTGCATTTGGAATTAATATCAATACAATGAAAGATCCAAATAATGATTTTTATTTATTGGGTAAAAAAGCAACAAATATGGAAAAATTGACAATTAAAATATTTTTAATGAGAGAATTTCCATATCTTATGAATTTATTTAATATCAATTTAGTTGATCCTTGTGTTTATAAATTTTTTAAAAATATCATTATGTCAACAATTAAAAAAAGAGAAATTATGGGTATAATAAAAAATGATATGTTACAATTAATAATGAATGATAGAGGAAAATTAAATTTAACAGAGGATGAAAAAATTGCACAAGGATTTGTATTTTATTTTGGTGGTTTTGATGCAACATCAACAATTATTTCATGTGCTTCTCATGAACTTGCAGTTAATGTGAATATTCAAAGGAAATTACAAGAAAAAATTGATTTAATTTTATGTGAATTTAATGGTGATCCAACGTATGATGCAATTAGTGAATTTGAATATTTGGATGCTATTGTTAATGAAACATTAAGGAAATATCCAATTCTCCCTGTTTTGGATAGGGTTTGTACTAAGGAATTTGAATTTCCACCAACAACATCAGATGCTAAACCATTTTTGGTACAACCTGGTATGACAATATGGATTCCAGTTATTGGCTATCATTATGATCCAATTTATTATGAGGAGCCAGAAAAATTTAATCCTGAACGATTTTTAAAAAATGGAACAGCAAATATTAAATCAATGACATTTTTGTCATTTGGTATTGGACCAAGACAATGTATTGGCAGTAGATTTGCATTGTTAAAAATTAAAATTATGTTATTTCATTTATTGTCAAAATATAATTTGAAAGTATGTTCAAAAACAAATGTTCCTTTAAAGTCAAGTAAAAAAACATTGGGATTTTTTGCTGATAATGGTTATTGGATGGAGTTGGAAAGAAGAAAAAAAAAATTTCTTCTGTAATTGAATTTATAAATAAAGCTATGTTTTTTTTTTGAGACTGAAATTTGTGTATTATAAATAAACAATAATTGAACTTATTTACATGATTTTTTCCTTTTTCTATTTCCTTAACTCTTTATCCCATTTGATTAATAAAAATCATTTTTTAATTTTTTACTCATGTATATAGGATTTGTCTATTTATTTGATCTGAGAATTTTCAGTTAAATCCTCATTTATCATTATAAATCCTTTTATAAAATGTCGACAATGACAAGGAAAAATTGTAATTTTCTAAATTGTTAAAGAAATTAGATTCGTCACATCAAAATGTATTTTTTTTTCTTCAACTGACATTTCAGCGAAAGTTGTAATAAATTTTACTCTCCAATTATGATGAAAAAAAATAATAATAGCAAAAATAGATAGAGAAAATAAGTAAAGTAAATCGTAATGAATTTTAATTATCAATAATTTAGCATAATAATTCTGTAATTTAAAAATTATACACAGAATAGCCAACGTTATATCTGAATTATTGTTTATCTTTTTATATATATTATGAGAATGTGTTATTATATTTCTTATGAGAGAATTTTAAGTGATCAATTAAATATTAATAAATAGAAAAAAACTATCGTTTTATTAAAAGATTGCTTTACTAATATGATCCATACTCTGTTGTTGATAAAAATTTAGAATAATTTTTCCAAGATAAATTAATTTTTTCTTTCGTTAGATTACTTTTCTTTGGCCTTGAATATCGCAGTTAAAAATAGTTAAAAGAAATAAAATTAAAAATCCTTGTTCAAACTATTTTTCACAATGATGTGAAAAAAAATGTACGCAACAAAAATCTTTAATATTAAATCTACAATATTCGATTTAAAATTCATTGAAGTGCGTTGGAATATATATATATATATTACTAATACCAACTGAACATTGAGAGAATGTATTCACACATTTATAAGCGTCAGAATAATTACTCATCACTTAAACTTTATTTATTGCATTCAGAACAAAATCTCTCGTCAGTGTTGCAAAATTGTGGTTACTATCAAGTACTTTTATCATCACTCCTCTAAGAAACCAAGAACATAATGATTTCGAATGTTATTTTAATTCTTTTGTCAATAATAATAGTGAAATTAGTGAGTGATATTTTTAAAATAATCAAAAAACAAACTTATTTTAAAACAAATGGTATACCACACGATGCGGCAATACCTATTTTTGGTAATATGTTATCAGTAATAACACGTAAAAAGAATATTGGTGATATTGTTAAAAAATTATATAACACACATAAAAATGCAAAATACTTTGGATTTTATGATTTTACAAATCCAGTTATTGTAATACGTGATATTGAATTAGTGAAATCAATAGCTGTTAAAAATTTTGAAAGTTTTCCCGATCATGGATTACTTGGACCCGAACCACGTGATCAATTATTTGCAAGAAATTTATTTAATTTAAAAGGTGAACGATGGCACGATGTTAGAACATTATTAAGTCCTGCATTTACATCAAGTAAAATGAAAATACTATATAAACTTATTTCCGATAGTACTATTAATTTTGTTGAATGTTTATTACAAGATGAGAAAGGTAATAAAATGAGAGAAATGAAAGAGGTATTTACACGATGTACTAATGATGTAATAGCAACATGTGCTTTTGGAATAAATATTAATACAATGGAGAATCCTAAAAATGATTTTTATCTATTAGGTAAAGAAGCAACAAATTTTGAATCAATGACATTGAAAATTTTTCTAATGCGTGAATTTCCATTGATTGCAAAAATTTTTAATGCTAAATTATTAAGAACTGAGGTTAATAATTTTTTTAATGAAACCATTAGAACAACAATTAAAATGCGTGATACAATGGGAACAACACGACCTGATATGTTACAACTTTTAATGGATACTAGAGGTAAAGATAAAAAAGTTGATCTTACACCTGAAGAAATAACAGCACAAGCTTTTGTATTTTATTTTGCTGGTTTTGATACAATATCAACAACCATGTCATTTGTTGCATATGAACTTGCAATTAATCCTGATGTACAATTACGATTACAAGATGAAATTGATACAGTTTTACGTGATTCAAATGGTGAACCATCATTTGAGACAATTAAAGGAATGGAATATTTAGATGCAGTACTTAATGAAACAATGAGAAAATATCCAGTTTTTGCCGCATTGGATAGAGTATGCTCGAGGGAATTTAATTTACCGCCAGCTGTACCGGATGCTAAATCAATTGTCGTGAAACCTGGTATGGTGATTTGGATTCCCGTTATTGGTTATCATTATGATCCATTATATTATGAGGAGCCGGAGAAATTTAATCCTGATCGTTTTTTAAAAAATGGCACCGCCAGCAATAAGGCAACAACATTTATGTCATTTGGTATTGGTCCAAGACAATGTATTGGAAATAGATTTGCATTAATGGAAATAAAGACAGTATTCTTTCATTTATTGGCTAGATGTAACATTAGAGTTTGTTCAAAAACAAATGTACCATTGGAATTAAGTAAAAAATCAATTGGATTTGCTGCTAAAGATGGTTATTGGGTGAAATTAGAGAAAAGGGATAAAAATTTTTTGTAATAACAAATAAATTTCTTTAACGTTATTGATGATGTAACTTTTAGAAAATACGAATTATAAATAAATTATTCTGAATAGTAATTATCTTAATTTGAACGTAATTCTTTCCTTTAATATAAAAGGACATTTTAAATACGCACGAGTGTAAAATAAATATTAATGAGCTTCATATAAACTTGTAATTCTGGTTTTTAAATTTTTTGTCGAGTTTTTTTTTGCAGATGAAAATCTGTGTAACCTTTCGTTTGAAAAGTTAATTTTTGTCAATTTGATAAAAATTCATAATAAAAAAATTAATATTATAATTATAAGTTAAAAATATTTATAATAATTTTAATTCAATTATATTCGAGCTTATATTATCTAAATTTTACTAGAAAATTTTTCTAAATTAGAGGAATTATTACTATAATTGTTCTCTCAATTAACGATTATTATCTTAATTCTCTTTATCTTATTTTAAAAGATAATTATTTTTTTTGAAAAAACAATAAAATTATTTTCATTGTTTATGATAGTAAATGATAAATAATAAATTAATCAATAATTCAGATTTTCACATTCGTTGTTCATAGATTATCTCAACCCATATATATGTTTAAAAAAATATATATATATTTTTTTACAGCATGTCAGTACACTCAATGATTATGTAACATTTAATCAAACATCATATCATTCAAGTCACATCTCTCTCTATTTCAACAGTACAAATTTTAAATAAAGAACTTACCATCATGCTCTTAAATATTATTTCATTTTTTTTTGTCATTATAATTTTGAATTATATTCTAACCCTCATAACAAAAGGATATCCCTAGGATATCCATAGGATATCCATATCAATGGTCGATATCCATAGGATATCCCTAGGATATCTGTGGGATATTATCAATATATCCCAAGATATCTTGTGTTATTAGGGAAAATTAATAAAAAGACAAACATTTTTATTGGATGAAATTGAAAATGAGAAAAACAACATTTTCTTTAAAGAAATAATTTTTAATCATAAAAAAAAAATTACATATTTCACAAAGAAAATTAATTTTCAGATTATATTTTTTATTGTATCATATTATTTGCAATAATGCAAATTGACAATAATCATTCAATATTAATGCTTATAGAGTGCAAATATTTATTGTAGCTTTAAAAAATTTTCCGTTCCTTTTTTATTCTGCGTTTATCTGCAAGTAAAATTTTTTAACAGTGTGATTTTGTTCTTCAATTATATATAAATATTGGTAATTACCAATTCACACAATTTAGCTGCACTAATTTCTCATCCTACGGATATTATCGATTCAATTTATTCAATTCAACTCCTACATTCTCCCACGTGCAAAAATAAACATATATATTTATATTGTTGATGATAGTGTAAGAAATTTTAGATCTCTGGATGACTATCAAGTAAAGTGAATCAATTTTGATAAATTAACGACGCAGTAGCAAAGTTAATAAAATTCTTCTATATGATGCACTCGAAAGCAGTCAAGGTTAAACAGTTTAAATAAAACAGGTATTCTACATCAGGTAATAATCAGTCACTAATGAAACGTTGATACTTCAACATGTTTTTAAACTTATGGACATTAATTTTCACCACTTTTGCTGGTGTTTTGGCATTATATTTTTATTATTCATTGAAAAAGTTAAATATTTTTCAAAATCATGGAATACCATATAAATCGCCGATGCCAATTTTTGGTAATCAAACACCGGTTATATTTCGAAAAATTTATATGGGTCATTTAATTGAAAAATTATACAATGAAAATTCAAAGGCAAAATATTTTGGATTATTTGATTTTATGAATCCAGTGATTGTGCTTCGTGATATGGAATTAATAAAAACTGTGACAGTGAAGAATTTTGAAAATTTTCCAAATCATAAAATATTTTTCGATGAATCATGGGAACCATTGTTTAGTAAAAATTTATTTGCCCTACAAAATGAGAAATGGCATAATGTTAGAACATTATTGAGTCCCGCATTTACATCAAGTAAAATGAAAATAATGTATAAATTAATTTCCGAATGTGCTATTAATTTTGCCGAATTTTTATCAAATGATAAAAAAGCAAGGGAAATGATTGAAATGAAAAGTGCATTTACACGTTATACTAATGATGTTATTGCAACATGCGCATTTGGAATAAGTGTTGATTCAATGAAAAATCCAAATAATGAATTTTATTTAATGGGTAAAGAAGCAACGGATCCAGTTAAAGTTGCATTAAAATTTTTTTTCTTACGTAGCTTTCCGATTATAATGAAATTCTTTAATATCCGATTAATAAGTAACGCAATTGATCGTTTCTTTACGGAAATTATTAGATCGACAATTAAAACAAGAGATAATAATGGTATAACACGACCTGATATGTTGCAATTAATGATGGATTCAAGGGGTAAAGAAGGAAATAAAATTGATCTTACACCAGAGGAAATGACTGCTCAGGCATTTATTTTCTTTTTTGCTGGTTTTGATCCAGTTTCAACAAATATGTCATTTGCTGCTCATGAACTTGCAGTTAATCCTAATATTCAATCTCGATTACAAGAGGAAATTGATTCAGTTTTACGTGCAACAAACGGTGAACCAACATATGAGGCAATTAATGGAATGGAATATTTGGATGCTGTTTTAAATGAAACATTAAGAAAACATCCAATTGTACCATTTCTTGATAGAGTTTGTAATAAACGTTTTGAATTACCAGCAACATTACCTGATGCCAAACCAATAACAATGGAACCTGGTATGACTATTTGGATTCCAGTTAGTGCAATTCATTCAAATCCAGATTATTACGATGAACCGGAAAAATTTAATCCCGATAGATTTTTATCAAATGGCACTGCCAACAATAAATCAATGACATTTTTAACTTTTGGTATTGGTCCACGACAATGTATTGGAAATAGATTTGCAATTTTAGAAACAAAAGTAGTCTTATTTCATTTATTGGCGAAATGTAATTTCAAAGTTTGTTCAAAAACAAATGAACCATTAATATTAAGTAAAAAAACATTCGCTCGTAATTCCGAGGGTGGTTTTTGGATGAAAATAGAGAAAAGAAATAAATAAATTTTATTATTATCGTAGAAAGGGGTTATTTCGCACATTGCGGGTAAATTTACTCATCAAATTGTCTGCTTTAAATTATCTTTAAACTAAATTTTGATACTATTATTTTTAAATTAAAATTATTTTTATGAAAATCATATATATATATGTAATAAAAGAAAATATATAGCATCTGAATAAATCTTTGGAGTATTTAATAAAGTTGATTTTAATTTTTTATTAAGATAATAAGGATACAGTGTAATTTGTGAGGAGTAAAGGGCAAATGTATATTTTCAATGGTGACGACATCAATATTTCCCATCTGTTCTATATTTTTCCAAAAATTATTTCAATTAATATTGACGAGAATTTAGAACATTTAAATAAGAAAACATTGTTTTCATCATCTGAAATCAAGGAAGAAAAAAAATTTTTTAAATTTAATTTTTCACTATTTTTTGTATAAATTACATAAGTCACTATAAAGGAAATATTATTGCAATAATTTGCGTATATACTTTTTATAATAAATAATATCACTTACCGAAGCATAAAAATCAAATGATAAGACAAAAGTTTTACCAATATTTATATTAGATTCTTTCATTGCTCCCATCATCATAACAAAAATCATTTTTTTTACTTTTAATGACTCACTATACCAATCCGTTTCATACCTCAAATAATAATTCATAGCATATTTAATAATCTCTTCTTTTATTTTGATTATTAATATTCTAAATTATATATGATTTTTGTTTTGTCTTACATATAATTTATTAAAGAAGAACTTTGACTTTTTACTACTTGTCCACAATAGCAGTTAAAAAACATATGTGTAAGTTGACCAATTATTGTCAGTCCCCCTCTAATTAAAATCACTTTGTTTGACTTATTAAGGATAATCTGCAAATGATTTTTATCAAGTTATTTAAAAATGTATTAACAAGTAAGATCATTTAAAAAAAAAAAAAATGAAAAAAATTAGTAGATACAAATCTTTACCAAGGAGCCAAACAATGTTATCAGTGCTCCTAAAATTAAATATGTAACAAATAAAAATGATGAAAAACAATTATTAATGTTACCGATGAATCTATAAAGGTAAGAAGAAAAATTTGATTAATTTCCAAGATAAATGAAAATTTAAATAAATAATTTATTAAAATGAATCATTTTTAAAATTCAAAATAACAAATACAAACATAAGTATTCGATGATATTTTTTTACACAACGAGAAACATTTTTTAACACTTCTACTTCACTCTTTACACGTTCGCCAGTTTTTTGATTGACAGTAAAGTGTTTTAAATCAAATCTGAAATATGTAAAAAAAAAAAAAACATTATTTGACATAAAAAACTTAAATTTTTTAAACATTTGCTTTTAAACATATTTTACCTCAAAATCTTAATCATTGCACAAGCATGTGTAGCTGCAATGTAAATTATCACATCAACACATATAACAGGCTCAATACTAAAATAACCACCAATAGTTATATGTGCCGATGTTAATACATAATGTTCAGTACTATTAAAAAAATAATAATCAAAATCAATTGAATATCTATTTGGTCCAGATTTATGTGATGGCATTATAGCTTTAAATAACAATTTTTGAAACCATGCTTCACTCATGTAAATTATCAAAATAGATGTTGTATAGACTGTAAATAATTAAATGATCCAGCGAAATTTCATAATTAGATAAAACTATTATATCTATTGAAATTAAATTCATACAAATAAAATCTCTCTCTTTAAATTGTTAATAAAGTTAATATAATTTTTACTTACTTAGATAACAAGTAGTTACTATTCTTAATATTTTTCCATATTTCATCAAGATTTCTTTGTGATTCGTATTTTTCTTTGCATTTTCATAATCTTCGAATATAATTAAATAAAGCCCTTCTAACTGATATTAAAATAAATTTACATAAAATTATTATGAATACTATATCCTTAGTTTGCAAATTTTATAATTTTCATTTGTCAGTGAAGTATATGGAATTTAGGCTTCCGTTGTACAACTTTTTTTATTATATATATTTACCTGTTTCATATGTACACTTTGATTTACATATGTTGCCCATATTAAAAGAGTAAGAGCAAAAAAGGCAAGATTTTCAATAGCAACATTAAAATCATCCAAATTTCTAAAAAAGTTTAATACCTGTTGTGTAATATAAACAAAATATTTATCATTAATTTTTCAAAAATATATATCAAATATATATATATATTTTTTTTAATTTACTTGCAGAGTATAATCTATTAAAAATTTTTAATTTGATTTTCATACAGTATTTGTTGCTAGATGTTATATGGTTATAAAGACTCAAATCATGGCGCATGACACGCAAACTTCTCAGGTATGTGAAAAGCACAATTTTGAATATTTTTTAAAAAAACCTTTTGGAAAATGTTCAGAATAACATAGACTCTGTCTGTTATGTGCGGAAAATTCAAAATTTTTTTCGTTTAAAACGTTTTTCAAACAATGTTAAGGTCACAAATCATGGCGCATGACACGCAAACTTCTCAGGTATGTGAAAAACACAATTTTGAATATTTTTTAAAAAAACCTTTTGGAAAATGTTCAGAGAAACATAGACTATGTCTGTTATGTGCGAAAAATTCAAAATTTTGCGTTTTAAACGTTTTTTAAACAATGCCTACATATAAGCAATTCGTGTATTTTTCCTTACTTGTGACAACCAACTTAAACATTGTTTAAAAAACGTTTTAAACGCAAAATTTTGAATTTTTCGCACATAACAGACAGAGTCTGTGTTATTCTGAATATTTTCCAAAAGGTTTTTTTAAAAAATATTCAAAATTGTGCTTTTCACATACCTGAGAAGTTTGCGTGTCATGCGCCATAATTTGTGACCTTAACATTGTTTAAAAAACGTTTTAAACGCAAAATTTTGAATTTTCCGCACATAACAGACAGAGTCTATGTTATTCTGAACATTTTCCAAAAGGTTTTTTTAAAAAATATTCAAAATTGTGCTTTTCACATACCTGAGAAGTTTGCGTGTCATGCGCCATGATTTGTGACGTCACGAAGGTTCAAATGCTCTTAATTAAAAATATCATTGTAATGTAATTTACTAGTAAAAATTGTGTACACTTGACTACAACTACAAATATTATCATTATTACCTTAGTATTACACATTTTACAAGCATTACATACTACTACCAAAATATTACTGTATTACAAAAGTATTACACATATATTACTGAGTATTAACCTTTATTACAAAAAATATTACACGTCAATTATAGCATTTTCTTATACGTAGAACTTTTCAATAAAATTAAAATAAGAAATAGAGAAATAAATAATTAAATATTCTTAAATATTAGGGTAAGTGCATCAATTACGGCGCGTTCATAAAAAATAACTATTATTACTATTACATTTAATATAACTGTTGCAAAATGATTTTAATATTTTTTTTTGATACAATTACTAATGAAGATGAACATTTAAACAATTATTAATTAAATTATTTGAGATCAAATTTTTTCCCTCGCCGTAATTGAAACATTTTTAATATTTCCATTAAAATTTAAATTCCATCCTCTAATTTCGGCGGGCAAATTATCTTCAAAATACACGTAATTTTTGTCATCGAAACTGATACAAACACGCCGCAATAAAAAATTACAGTATTAAATTTAATTTCTCATATTTGTTTAAAACTTTTACTTATATTAAAATTTTTTGGTTTGATTTTCTTTAAATTTTTTCAGATATTACAACATAATACCACAATATTACAAGTATTATACAGTATTACATGATATTACACAATAATACTTATTATTACAAGACATTACAAAATATTACAGGTATTACCGAGTATTTTTTTTTTTTTAGTCTCATTTTTTTTCTCAACGGTTTCTTACACAAAATTGTGTGGGGAATTCAGAAAATTTAATTTTCCTTAGGACGTCAAGAATACTATTTTTTAATAACATTTTATAAATAAATAATATAAAAATCTATTAAATATGAAATTTTTTCAAAATAAAAATTATATTTAGAAACTACATTTTAAGACGAGAAAAACCCTTTTTGGTTTTTAATTGGTGAACAGGAACTCGAGAAAAAATTTTTTTAAAATAAGACTGCAAAAAATTTCAATTGTTTATAACTTTAACAAAAAATTTTTTTTTGACCTAAAAATTTCAGGGACTTATTTTTATCATGTAAGGAGTCAAAAGAAATGATTTTTGATTAAAAAAAAAAATTTCTGAATTTTAGGTGATCCGTTTGAGAAATTCTGACCCATATATAAAACTTTTTTGTTAAAATTTATTTAAGTATAGTTTCTTCTTCTTTATTTCTACATACAATAGGCGTTGTCCAACAAAAATGAGAGATGCCCAAAACGATTAAATGAATTTTTAATATTCTGTTTGGTACAAATGGCCAAAATCCACATGATATAAGTATATATTTCATTAACTTAATATAAGATAGATATAATTTAGAATACATTATATTAACAAAAATTAAAAAGAAATCTCTTTCTTAACAAGAGAAAATATAATTACTGCACACTGAGAATATGTGAATAAATTTATTTCATGAAATTAATAAATATTTTTCTTGTAAACCAATATATTTATTAAACACAAAAAAAGTTGATAGTTTTAAAAGTTTATATTGATAAATAAATTTTTCATACGGAACAATAAATTGTAATTTACATAATTTACCTATGTGAATTCTACATGTGCAACTGAAAAAAAAATATATTAAACTTCAATTTTTTAATATGCTATATCTCATAAAAAGTTTTATTTAATTTTCTATTCTAATATAATATTCCCTTGGACATGATATAACAACTATTTCCCTATCATTACTTCTATATTAACTTTTACAATTCTATGAATATAATACCAAAAAAAAAAAAAATATGGCAAATATCTGGAATATAATTTTAATATTGAAAATGATTTTTATTCAAGAATATATTTTCTGAATAATAAATAATAAAAGTGTAATTGTAAATCAATATAATTTAAATATAACAGATTGAGGGTAACTCTCCGTTTTTCACATTTTTGTCAATAAAATATAAAAGAAGTATTACAGTGACGTTGTGTTTGTGTGTTTAATTCTAATGATTCTTTTAACATTTTAAAAGTGAAATCAAGGAAAATAAATCATTAATATCTCAGTTATCTTTATATCAATATTTTCTTTTTTTTTTCATTAATTGATTAAAGAGCATCATTATTGAACAATAAAAATTGATAACAAATTTAAATACATTTATAAAAAAATTAATTATAATTGCACAATAAGACGCAATTAGAGGAAATACTTTATTATATATATTAAACAAAAGAAGAAAAAAAATGTAATATCAAAATTTCTTGTAGAATTTCCTAAATGAAAATCAAATTGCACAACTTGGGTAAAAATTGATAAACAGCTTGGAGTTTCTTACAAAAATTAGTAATGAATGTATTGTTTCTTTTTTTTTTTTAATAATGATTGCATCAGTAGGAGATATAAATACATGTATTTAAACTCAAAAAGATTCAGTTTAATGTCAACAGTTGTCATATTTAAAGCTATATTTTTTAAAAAATATATATTTAAAATTTTTTATTTTCGAGAAACAAGAATAAACATTTTAAAACAATGATTATCAACATTCTAACTGTGATTTTAACAATTTTCATTGGATGTTTTGTCATTTATATTTTCTTCAATTATAAAAAATTAAATTACCTTAAAATTCATGGAATTCCACATGTCACACCATTACCAATTTTGGGTAATTTAGCATCAATTGTATTTCGTCAAAAGCACACTGGTGAATTTCAATTAAAATTATATAATAAATTTTCAAATTCAAAATATTTTGGATATTATGATTTTCAAACGCCAGTAATTGTATTACGTGACATTGAATTAATAAAATCAATTGGAGTGAAAAATTTTGAAAGTTTTCAAGATCATCGTTTATTTTTTGATGATTCATCCGATCCAATGTTTAGTAGAAATTTATTTGCTCTAAAAGGACAAAAGTGGCATGACGTGAGAATTTTATTGAGTCCAGCATTTACATCAAATAAAATGAAAATAATGTTTAAACTTATATCTGAATGTGCAATAAATTTTGCCGAATTTCTTTCAAATGATGAAAAAAAAAATAATAAAATACGTGATATTAAAGATTGTTTTACACGTTATACTAATGATGTTATTGCAACATGTGCATTTGGAATTAATGTTGATTCAATGAAAAATCCAAAAAATGAATTTTATTTAATGGGCATTGATGTAACGGATCCAGTGAAAATGTCTATAAAATTTATTTTTTTACGAATGTTCCCAAAGTTATTGAAATTTTTTAATATTAGATTTATTAGTATGAAAATTGAAAAATTCTTCACTAATGTTATTAGTACAACAATTAATATGCGTGATAAGAATGAAATAAGTCGACCCGATATGTTACAACTTATGATGGATTCAAGAGGTGAGAGTAATAAAATACAACTTACATCTGTGGAAATGACTGCACAAGCATTTGTATTTTTTTTCGGTGGTTTTGATACAATATCAACACATGTTTCATTTGTTGCTTATGAACTTGCATTAAATTCAAAAATTCAAATGAAATTACAAGAGGAAATTAATTTTGTTTTACAAATAACAAATAATAATCCTTCATATGAGGCAATTAATGGAATGGAGTATTTAGATGCAGTGATAAGTGAATGTTTGAGAAAATATCCAATTGTACCATTTGTTGATAGAGTTTGTAATAAACAATTTGAACTTCCACCAAATCAACCGGATTCAAAACCATTTATAATTGAACCAGGAATGTCTATTATGATTCCAATTTATGCAATTCAACATGATTTGTCTTATTATGAGGAACCGGAGAAATTTAATCCTGATAGATTTTTAAATACTGGCAACGCTAGTAATAAATCAGCAACATTTTTGGCATTTGGTCTTGGACCAAGACAATGTATTGGAAATAGATTTGCTGTTTTGGAAACAAAAATTGTGTTATTTCATTTATTGGCTAGATGTAATTTAAAAGTTTGTAAAAAGACCAATGTACCATTAAAATTGAGTAAAAAAACATTTACACTAACAGCCGTTGGTGGTTATTGGTTGGAAATTGAAAAACGAAATGTAAAATGTAATTCAAGAAAATAAAAAAATACATTATGGAAATTATTATTATAAATATTTTCATTATTTATTTATTATCCTCCTATCAATTTAGTTTTTATTTTAAATCTAATATTATAAATGCTTTTAGAGCTCTCTGTATACATTCTCTTTGGATTTTTTATTCTATATGATGATTCTGTCTGATTTTGTGCTAAGGTTGACTGAGGTCATGTGGCGCGTCTTAAATTGCGTTCCCCTCTTAACGATTTTAGCGCGATCTATGAAGAAAATGTTGTACCGTCATCAATTCAATGCTTCTAACTGAAGATAAAGAAGAAATTGAAAGTCGCTGCTAGGTTACAATCTCCCAACAGTGATGACTACTGATGAATTAGTTGATTTCAACTTTCTACTATATTCACTGTTCATTTCTCTTTTAGGTTTTCAATAAACTCCAGATTTGGCGCTAACTGTTTTTTTGTCATATTTTTCAATTAGTCTAGTAGGTGTCGCTTCAGTGTCACAGATTTTTGTAATGGCGTGTATCGGCTCGTGAAAGAAGAGAAACAACATTGTTGTTTTTCAAAATAAAAAAAAACAAACAAACAAACAAAACAAAATCTTGTTGCATGTCAATAGATTGTACAAGTTTTTTAATGTATTAAAAATAATGACGATTACGACAACGGGAATTTTACCATCGTATCAACGTATTGTGAATGGTGTTCCAGGACAGCTGTTTTTGCGACGATCCTTTCGTCCTCGGGAAAAATATTTAATACTTCTTGTATTTTTGACGTTTGGTGTCGTTTGTTTTGGTGCATTTTTCTTTCTTCCTGATTTTCGAAATGGCACTGGCGGTGCAGCTGTCAATAGTGTTTATCGCGTTTATCAACATATGCAAAAAGCGGGTCCAGAACTTTTAATACCGGCTCCTCCTCATTCAAAAGATTCCCATGTCCCAGGTTATGGTGGACATCGTAATGATTTAGATAATTATCATGATTTTAAAGGACAGGACATTCATATTATTGAAGATAAACAAAAATTACAAGTATGTTGAAATATCATTATTGATCTGAATTTATTTAATTTAGCTGACATATACATATATAGTGTCAAATATTTTTGTTTTGAATTTGACTAAATCCATGATGGATTCCTTTATCTTTTCTTGAATCCTTTTTTTTATTAGTTTGTCCTAATTTAAGTTCTTTTATGTTTAAATCTTAAAATTAATGTATGAAAAAAGAATATCAAATGTTGTTTTCTAGTATTTACTAGAAATACACATTTAGTGTATGGAATTTGCTCGAGATTTTGCTAAGACGTAACGGAACATAGCTTTCTCCTTTCGTCTTTCACTTTTTCTATATATATGTATATATACAAAGTTAACTTGCATTTGTCGATAGAAAAAAAAAATGTAGAATTTCTTTAAAAAATTTCAATTAGAATGAAAAATTGTTTTCTATTGTTTTAGGCAAAAATTGACGAAGAAAATCAACAACAGAAAACGTTGGAGAAACCCGATGTTGGTATAGATTTACTAGTGCATACAGGTAGTGCGGTTACGAATTTTTTTAATCAAGTGAATGAGGATAACATTGAAACTGTGCCTCCAGCACCAGCTGAAAAATATCCTGTTGTCGTTGGAGGTGAGGATAAGGATCCTGTCGCAAGGGAGAGAAGAAACAAAGTTAAAGAGGTACTTTAAACTATTTTTTACGTCTTAAAAACCTTTATTTATCCAAAAGATGTACTTTCACTATTTCTAAAATAGATAATTTGAATATCCATTTTTTAGAATCCTTTAGGATTTTTTTCCTTATAAAAAATAGCTGACAATGTTTTATTACAAAAGCGATATATATATATATATATATATACATTTAGGACGTTCACCTTTACGTAAAGATGTGGGATAATACTTATTTCTTTGCCCTTTCAACATCCTTTTGAAGTGGGGATAAAGAAAAGTTCATCAGCAGTAAATGTGAAACAATTATGAGAATTTGTTTAACCGTTCTTTCAATTAAATTAATTTTCTTTTTATTAATTAGTTTCGACAAATTTTTAAAGCAAAAATTTGCCGAAACTGAAACATTTACAAAATATAAAGTATATTCAAAATTCAAATATTAATTAATAATCGTTCAATAATTTTTGAAAATTTATTTGAAAATTATAATTCTATTGATGCAGTTATTTTGATTAGCAAACTGAAAGTGGGTTTATTGTCAAAATTTGTCCATTCGAATGTACATTTCGGGATTTAAATGGATTTGCAGTCTATGATAATCTTTTGTATCTAAACTGTGAAATCAGAAATTTGGAAATTCATTGCTGATGCCCATATATATATATAGAATCATAACACCACATTTTCATCATTTCGTTCATGTAGAATAATTCCTATTTGAGAATGGCTTTATATATAGAACTGATAACGACAATCAAACAGTACGAACATTTCAATTCTATATATATATATATATAGAATTACACAATAAAGGTTCAGAATTATTAAAATTAGCAAACTGAAATGTTACCACAAATTTATTTGAAGTACAATTAGGAAAAACTTATTTAAATATATTTATTTATTAAGAGTTAAATTTACATTTTGCCTGAATGTAAATTGTTACTCTTCTTTTATGAAAGTACAAAAGCGCCTTTCATGATAAATAATCAAGTATATGTATATGCGTGCATGTGAGTAGTTATACTATTAGAATGCTATTTAGTATTAGCATAAGATCCAGTTGCAATTAAAGTACATGTACGTTATATATCTTCGTTTGAAATACTGCCAAGAGAATAGTTCCAGTATAACGGAACTTTTGAAAATTTTACCATAACCTATTTTAACAGCAATTTTACAAAGTTTAAAATTAAAAAAAAGCACAGACTTCATCAAAATTTGAGAATACTTCCTACTATGATATGAAATTTTAACTCCCTGTTAACTTATTCCCACTCTATAGCGTCAATGAACGTAATTCCCATAGTTCTCACTAGGCTTACAAATTGACGCTTTTTGATTACAATCACTATATAGTTAAATCAAAAATTTTTATAAAATATTTCGATTTTTTATTGTAATAGTAAAAAAAATAATCTATAGAATTTCATTCAAATAAAATTATTGTAATTTATGAATATTTACATAAATCACATACAATGATTAATTTTAATTGTTGAGAAGACACGGGTGAAAATTGGAATCGTTAAATGCAAATGCAATGGGTTTCTGGTGGCCAGGTGGATTTAAATATTTTGGTAGTGTTCGTGTTTTCTACATAGATACATGTATATATATATGTGAAGAGCAATTTTCATATTAATTTAAAGTAGCCATTGAGAAAAACATTTTTTATAATGATATATAGTGATGACATGGTACTCTAAAAAAAACCTCTCGTTTCAACACGAAATCTTCACTCTTTTCCAAAATTATATATTTTTTTTTATAATAACATCTCTTTAATCCATATTTAATTTGTTAAATTTCAATATTTTTGAAAAAAATGTTACAAAAATTTGAAAAATAACGAATCACTGCACCTATTTTAAGGAATATTTCAAGGGAATTTAATTTACATTTTAGTTATATTAGATCTTATGCATAATGCAGAGTTCTTTTATATAGATATATAAATTGCGTGGGTAACACGAACGAGAATTGCTCGGAAGGTAAGAAATTTTATTTTATTTTTTTTTTGCTATTTCGAGCTATAAATTCTTTATTTTACTAGAATACATTCTCGAGTCGAATAAGAATCGGCCTATGAATAGGTGATAAATCGTATACCTATTCATGAATCAAAGTTTCGTGAGCGAGGTTTCTTACTTTTCCCTGAATTGCCGCCTTACCGACTGATGGCTAAAAACTCACTGAAATCACGTAGTAGTGCAGTAACTGTAATCTAGAATTCTCGTGAAGTCGACTCCAGTGGGAATCGAGATATTTCAGATCTCACGTTTCCTTTTATTTAACGTCAATAAAATAAAAGTGTATCAAGAAAATATAATTTACATTGTAATAATAGATAATATTCGTAAAATTAATTATTCAATGACAAATTTTTCAAGTTTTAGAATTATCATGGATAAGAAAGAGAATATTGATTTTTATTGATAAGGTTACAAGTTTATTTAGATAAATATTTAGAGTTATAAAATTGATCTTTGAGAGAGTGTATCATGAAGCAACCAGTCTTGAAAATAAAGGAAGTCAGCATTCCACTGCAACAAGGAAGGTAAAAGTTACTACAACTTTTACAATAAATACTTTTGTGATTTACCCTCAGTAAATTTGATATTTTTTTGGTAATTCAATTTAAAATAAATGGAAATAAAAATTTTAGTTTTTTTTTAAGAATCAATAAAAACAGTTTGATTTTTAATACGATCGAGTGTTGTTCAAGGAAAAAGTTAATTTTCACAAGATTTATATAATTATTAATTATTCTCTTATAATTTTAATTGAAAAAAATAATATTTTTATTTACACAATCGAATTATGTCCTTAAATATGGGAAGGAATGGCTGGTACCAGATATTGCTTATGAGCTCGCAGGAAGGTTGACGGGCTTTGATGATGACCACAGGTTCGGAGATCAATTGACCGTGACAAAAACCCAAACAATATAATTCTTCCAAAAAAGGAAGAATTGATAATTTCCAAATATTATGTCATAATCAAAGCCTTAAATACTTTGATGAGTATTCTTCTTGATGTAGAAACTTTTAACATTTGGCACAGAGATTCTTCTAAGTTCAACTTGAGTATAAAATTAGTCAAACTAACAGTACTTTTACAAAATTTCGTATATGAAGTTGACGTGCTGGTACCAAAATCTGAACTGAACTCTCCTGGCATATGTGGTCCTTTTTACACAACGATTTTAATAAATGTACAAAAAACGGTCTGACAGATTTTATTTTTTGAATTTGAAGAAAAATTTGTTACAAAATTAGACTATACTGTCGTGACTGTATTATTGATTTTAAATAAAACAAAGTTAAGAAAAAATAGAGCTTTGTTACAAAAAATGTAGTTGCGAGATT